TAAAACATTAAAATAATACTTTCTCTAAGACATAAACTGTTCAGATAGCCAAATTCCCCGAAATAAGTCACTTTTTTAACCATCATCACAGCTCTCTGGGCCGTCATGTAAATGCCGCGTCACGCAAAAGCTTAGAAATTTAAGCGTAGTGTATCACAAAACCAAGAACCCATTTGGAGCGAAAATTTGTATGAATATTAGTTTTCAGCTGCTCTTAAACATCACTAAAGTAAAATCTCAGAAAGATCAATAGTTTTGTGGTCTGAATTTTAGTGACGTCACGTGAAAGCCAGTTATAAGTATTTACCTAATCAGCCACAACCAGGTCTCTCCCCTCGGCGACAATTGCGCAAATGGAGATAGAGTCTCGAAACGAGTATAGAGATCAATGCAAATAAAATACTAATGAACTTTTTCACCAATGTCGCGCTTTTACGTTTTTTTTTTGTTTTATTTTTTTAATTCAAACAAAGAAGGGTTCGTCGCTCGATTTGTTATGCTGAATTTAGTACATATGCAAACTTTCATGTGAATCCGTTGCAAACGTATGAAAATATGGAACCCCAAACTTGCCAATTTTTACAAAGATATGTATGCCAGGGGGCAAGCGTTGCCCCCTGGNAAAGCTTAGAAATTTAAGCGTAGTGTATCACAAAACCAAGAACCCATTTGGAGCGAAAATTTGTATGAATATTAGTTTTCAGCTGCTCTTAAACATCACTAAAGTAAAATCTCAGAAAGATCAATAGTTTTGTGGTCTGAATTTTATTGACGTCACGTGAAAACCAGTTATAAGTATTTACCTAATCAGCCACAACCAGGTCTCTCTCCTCGACGACAATTGCGCAAATGGAGATAGAGTCTGGAAACGAGTATAGAGATCAATGCAAATAAAATACTAATGAACTTTTACACCAATGTCGCGCTTTTACGTTTTTTTTTTTTATTTTTATTTTTTTAATTCAAACAAAAAACGGTTCGTCGCTCGATTTGTTATGCTGAATTTAGTACATATGCAAACTTTCATGCGAATACGTTGCAAACTTATGAAAATATGGAACCCCAAACTTGCCAATTTTTACAAAGATATGAATGCCAGGGGGCAAGCGTTGCCCCCTGGCATAAGTAGTACATGTGCAGTGTGACTAGGGAAGTAAACAAA